TTTCACAGTCGCTCACTTCCAGCCTACCTGGCTTTCGGAGGACCCGGCCCACTTAGACCGCGAAGGCCGGGTCCTCAGGTGGACGCAGCCTCTGAATTTGGACACCCCAGCTGTTTCCGACCAGACAATAATAACGGTAACATTTAACTTATTATAGCCGATAAATATATATATATATATATAAATAAGTGTATATGTTAACCCCCCCGGATGGGTGGGTGGATGGATGGATGGATGGCAAACATAATGGGCAATACAATGTGCAGACTTAAAGTCTTCCACACCAACTTGACAAACATCACAATAACGTGCTATAGCAACATATATTACACTAACTTTGATTTGCTGTAAAATAGTAGCAAGACCATAGTAAGCTATTAGTACTGTTCATAACCGAACATCTGCTTCTTTAATGTGATGCCTTATGTGGTGCTGCTAGGTCAAAAGACTTCCGGTAAATGTCACTATATCATGGCTATTTTGTAAAAGGTCTACCGCACTAAGAAAAAAGACATTTCAGTCATATCACTTTAGCCAAGTGAAATGACTTAACCCAAACCCTACAAAACCCCTATATTTTGGAGAAAGGCAAAACCAGCTTTTGTGGATAGAGTCTAAATAGTTTTTGAGTTGTATCAGTTATCAGAATGATTTGTTCCCTAAGTGATAAGACTTTGGAGGACAATTAATAAAAATTACATATTTTGATTGGGTTAAAGGTCATTATTAATGATGAGTTAGTCGTCAGCTACCAACCAATTTCTGGTTATAGGTATGGTTAGGATTATGTTAACATAAGTCAGATTATGATTTTCACCTATTTAGCATACTTAAACAAAAAAGGTATTACAGAAAGGGAAAACGCATGCATAAGATGTTTTGGCGTCTCAAATTATTCGTGCACTGTAATATCAGTGACCAGTAAATCTGGTTGGCCCCAGATCTTTAATAGTGTCCCTACACAGTAACTCGTCTAAGGTATTGTATGGAAGCCAATGTTAACTCATTAATCCTTTCAGTAACTTCCTATAGACTTTGGTTGTGTTGTGTTTCTTGTACTCTTGTGTGACTTTAGCAACTATTGCAAACTATTTCCCTGTGGGGAATACTGACGTAATTTTCTCTCATTTCTTGGTGCAGCATGATAACAGCAAGAGATTCACAGTGAAGCACAGCCCTGGTAGGGAAGGAGAGAATTGTTAGGATATCAAATAGTAGCAATTTTAAAGGTAGGGTAGTCTATATTTTCCCTTGCGCTTCAAGATTCTCACCCTTAAATGCAAGTGATGGGTTACATTTAAGCGTGTCGGGAGAGAATAAAACCATCTTCAGCCCTGCTATGAAACAAAATGGAATGTGCATCAGACAAACACTGCATAAAGTACTTCTTGTTTAGTAGTGGAATATCTATGGAAGTTTGTACAGCATCACTGTGTCTAACTTCAAACATATTCATTAGGTTGGTGTTGATGGATGTGTTCATCTCCTGCTGAGCTGAAAACTGGGAAAGATGCAAGAGATGAGGTCGAAGTTGATGCAGCTCACCAAAAAAGGAGAACTGAGATCGAGTTGGAGAGTCTGTGTGAAAATAACTGAAGAATTTTTAAGATATTATGTGATGCTCTCTTATTGACATAGTTGTTTCAGAGTATTGTACATAGCTTGGCCTAAGAGTAAGATTTATTTTTTTCATTCCAGCTTTTATATATGAGGATGTGCTTGGCTGAAAAAATAATGAGCAGATAAATCTAGAACATTATAATTATCTGTAGACCAATAAAGAGTTTATCTAATAATAATCATTTGATACAAATAGTGTAGTAGTCGCACGTGCCATTTCTCTGTGGTTTTTGTTCTCAAACTAAAGTTGTGTAATTATTATAACATATTCTTAGTTATGTAACATACTAATACAGGATCTTTAATAGTAATGGAGTCACTAGCAGACTAGCAGAAGACAGGAAGATTTTTATCTCATTGTTATCAGTCTCACCAAGCAACCTCTTGCAACCACTTGGCAACCAGTCAGTCATGACATTGACTTTTCTCTAACAACCGGTGGTTACCAGGCAGTCACCAACCAGTCTCTAAACCTGTGTGACAAGGGCTTTAAATCTGTGGGAAACACCGTATTGCCCTTTTGTTTCCAGGAAGAAATGTGGGTTTGAATAGAATTGGCATAGATAGCTGAGTAGTGGCATTTAAATATTCAATCCACACAAAAGGATTTGATAAGTGGTAAGACAGTAAGTGCAATGATAAAGCAAAATAGTCACATTAAACACATTAATTTGTGCTTAACTTACCTTTTGATTTGGTAATTTTTTGGTCTGCTTGAATGTCTCTGTCTGTGAAATCCAATAAGTGCGTGCAAGCTGGATGTAAAGATAGCCAATAATCAGTCCTGGAGCAACAATGCTAGTGCAAAACAGGAAGGAGATGTAAATCTTGTAGGAGAGCGGTGACAAAGTGGACTGACACATAGGCTTGGTGCCCACTGCCATCAGTTGAATTCTCACGATCATCGGTAGGGTGAGGATTAGAGAAGCTACCCAGACAAGTAGGGCAATAGCTTTCCGATAACTTTTCGATCGTTTCACTGTGTCGAGTGGCTTGAGCACTGCAAAGTAGCGTTCTGTACTCATGATTGTCAGAGTAAAGATGCTTGCGTGCATAGTCAGGAAGTCCATGCTTATCAGAATCCGACACCCTGCATCTCCAAAGTACCATCCCTTCAGGAAGTGTGTGCAGACTACGAAGGGGATGGTGAGAAGATACAGCAGATCTGCTAAAGCTAAGTTTATGATGTAGATGTACATGGAGGCTGCAGACCTCATGGAGTGGCACATCACCACCAGGGTGTAGATGTTCCCGGAGACTCCAATGAGACACATGATGGAGAGGATGGTTCCAATGGTAAAGGTGGCGGCTGTATCTTCAAGTGAGTTCAGAGGAGGGTCAGTTGCATTGCCGCCCCTTTCCACCAGGACTCCCACAGGCTCCATGGACACTGTTGTCATGTCTGGGTGCAAGAGAAATGTATGGGAACAGGGAAATGATATATTAGCTCTCCAATATAGCCAATGCATGGAAGCTATTTTAATGAAGTGGATCTTTTGGGGATTTATAAACAGATTGCTAAAGTGTTAAAAAGACTATACTGGCATATTTTCTGCAAGCTATCATCTCCATTTTGAAAAAACACGCCAATAGGTAGAGATCTAAACCATCTCTCGCTCTGAGTCTCTGACTCATTGCATATTTACAGAGGTGGAGACCAAAAAGTGTCAAAACTGCTAAACAAAAGGTTAAATTTCTGTCTGACTAAAGTTTAATCTGATTAATAAAAATTACCACAGCAGTGTTTTAGTAAGACCAAGTTGGTCAAGAACTGAGGCGTTATCCTAAGTCTTGAAACTGTAGTACTAATGTTTAGATTCAGTCTGCACACTGTGACTCAAATGATGCAGAAAATCTGACACTGAAATAATCTTTGATGGAAATTAGCACTCTTGTTATTGAGTGTTATCTGTCTGATTAACATTAGCACAATCTTAAACTCTGGTGACAAAAATGTGTCATAATTCTCTGCAAGTTTTTAAATGGGAAGAAGTTTGTTTTTTTATCATGCACTAACAAATATGTAGCCTATGGTCTTATATGTTATTCTTTGAATAAGCTATGACTCCGTGTTATGAATCAGAATTATGACTTATGTGCTGAACTTAAAGTAAACATACTGTAAGTTTCTAACTTGGTCAGTTGGTTACACATTGAGGTCTAGGCTGGAACCATGAATCTTAGTTTCTAAAGAAAATTTTGCTTATTCCCATTTGATTACCGCACAACTTAAGAAAAAGAGTCTCATGAACATTGCACAACTGAAAAATGATCCAAGTCATTTCTCAGAACTAAAGCTAAATGTATCAGAGTTGATCCAGTTGTTGCACTGATGTCTTTACTGAGTCATAGACATCTTCTTGTCAAGATTAATGCTCACCTGTCAAAATTCAGACAGAAATCACTAAGATGTAATTTCTTCGTTGTGACTTAAGTAGTACCAAAAAGCACCAGGGGCAGAGATAAAGTCAGGCTGGACTTATATTACATTTTAGCCTTCAGTAATAGACTTTCCTGGCAAGCTCAGAAAAGAACAGCAGTTCCTACTACATGCATGTAAATGCACAATTACAAATCTATTTGGGAAATAAAGTGAACTGGCTGACTTACTTGGGCTGCCTTACTGGACAGAAGAGGTTCAACACTCAGCTGTGGTTCCACTGGCCATGCTCTGTCAAACTTCACACTTGCTGGACAAATTTCACACTCCATAAAAGTCCCCACAGAGTGTAGAAAGGAAACCCACAGGTGGAGCAAAGGAAAAGAAATTTATATCCAGGAGTCCTGAAGGAGGAAAATGACCTAAATGAGTCATCGACTACAACAAAAACCCTTCCACTGTTGACTCGTCTCTCGACAGCAAATCAACCAATCTAACGTGTCTTGATTCAAGAGAAAGTGCACTGATAGCAGCCTTAAAAGTTCTCTCCTATTCCCTTCACTCTTTGTGCACCTTAGCAGCATCCACGTACAGGATGTCAGCATCGGCAGAATCGGAAGAGAGAGAGAGAGAGAGAGAGAGAGAGAGAAAGGGGGGAAGAAAGCATCAGTGAAACAATCACAGAAGTGAGAATCACGTTCAGCTACAGCTGGCTATGGAGAATCCTCTGTTTGACTGAGAGAGAGAGAGTTATAGAGAGAGTGTGAGTGCCAGAGGTAGAGAGGGCTGAGCAAAAGCAGGGAGAAAGGGAGGGAGGGAAACAGAGCTATCAGTGAGGTACTCTCGCTGAGAAGCCTGAAAGTGGGAGGGAGAAGACGCAGAGAACGGACAGCAGAGAGGTATGCAGGAAATGCATTCTGCTCTCTCTCCTTCTCTCTTTCACTCTGTAACCCCTGTGCCCTCTATTTCCATGTGACAGGGGCGTGTGCAACAAACTGATATGCAATAACAGGACTTGAGACACACTCGCATGACAGCCTCACAGACACACAAAAAAACATGCAGTAAATAAAAGATATACAGCAATGGCAATTTGTTAGATTGTGTTTGTTATTTTAACTGAATGGTTACAAAGTCAGCGTCAACTACCACTGCAGCAATTTGCCTCAGACTGCTGCAGAGAAGCTGATATAAATTAAACAGTGTTGTTGGCTTTCTGTCACTGCTACATGCTGAATATGGACTACATGTTAATACAACTGCATGTCAGGTCAAAGACGCGTAGTTCCCCCTTTTTACCTAGAAGAGCAATTGTAAAATTACAGTGTATAAAATTTTACCACTAGGTGTCAGTAAATTGCAGTCAGCTGAATTTACCCCCACCATTTAGCCTGTGTAATTGACTATGTGCACGTTAGCATATGCTACTTCCGGTGCGGAAACTCCTGTGGGGAGCTTTGTTTCCGGTGTCCTATTCACGCCCTGTTTACGGTCCAAAACAAGTTAAGCAAATGAATTAATCAAGCGGCGATTTACATTTCTATAGATGTCTTGTGCATTTACCCAATATATCTGTAAATGATGTTCATCGACTTGTTGATATTTTCCCCCCCGAGCCTCAGAGCAAAAGAGAAAAGGGATTCAAATGTTATATTTCTCAGCTGTCCCTCGTTTATCGCGGGTGTTATGTTCTAAAAATAACCAGCGATAGGTGAAATCAAGTAGCTCATTGTATTTTTTGACAGTGCAAAACGTTTGGTGGACATCGTGGACATACAGTACTGCACTTCAGAGTCACACTGCTAACGATCGATGCAGCGATTCTGTACTGTACAGGAGAGACGTCACGGAGGAGATCGTCTGCAGCGATCAGGACGCAGGACACAATGTGACGTAAAAAAACGTGCAAACTTGCACTAAAAAAATCTGCGAAACAGCGAGGTGAAAGGTGAACCGCGTTAATACCAAGGGACCGCTGTAATTTTTAAAGGTAAGTCACAACATACCCTTCGTAAATACTAATGTATAGAAACCCTTACCATTCATTTTTTGTGTGGCTTTTTTCACGGTTTGTTAACACGCTGTGTAGGTGTGTACTTGACTAGCTGATATCGACATAACGGGGAAAGATCTGGTTTGAGTATTCTTCAACTGTAGTTTGAATGCTGAACATTTGCCTGTTTAAATCATAAGACCAGTCACTATACAGAGATGTGCTTCTGAATGTGGATGATGTGTCTTCTGCTGCAGTGATGCAGTTCTGTTTGTGTTGAGCGATGTAAACAACTGATCGATCTAAACTCTTTAAACGTCAAAATTGATCATTAGATTTTTTATGACACAACAGTGGTGAGTGTTCCCACCTTCTGCTCTTTGTAACTTAACGCCATCTTTCTGTTTTCGAGTTTTGGACATGCTTTTGGAGTATATCTTCGCAGTAGCGATTGACCGCAAAGTAAAGCTACCGGAAATGTACAACCCCACATCCGGTCTCAAACCAGGAAGTTAGCATTTTCTCGTGCACAGGGTCAATACTAGCAACGGTGACCACTGCAGGACAAAAGAAGTCTGGCTGCCATTCATCTGTAGTGAGTGTTTGCTGTTAGTTAGCTGTTTATCCTCGATGCCAGTATACTGGTTATCCTCGTCTATTTTCTGTAGGGAAGACAGTGAAACTTTGTGAAAAGAGTCTGATATGAATCAACGACTTAGTGAACCTCTCTTTTGTCTGATGATAGTGATACTGATGAAAGTTGTTGAGGATATCCTGAACTTTTGTCTTAGTAAGGGTTGTCAGGCGATAGCTGCTGTTAGCCTCCGTTAGCTACCGTTAGCTGGCACTGGCGAAACTGTCTTTGAACATTGTTGGACTTTTACTCTTAGCTAATAAACTTTCATAAGATGTGAGAATGTTATAAAACTGTTTATCAGAGGGGAAGTGTGATTATTAGACTAGAGCCTAACATTAGCTGGCAATATTTTAGCTTATAACCATCTGTTGCTGAGGTGAGGAGGTGGAAATGAGGAAGAAAAGAGAACAATGGAGGAGGCATAGAAAAAGATAATAAGAAAGAAACAATGAAAATATCCACGTACAAATAAAGAGCTCTTTATGATCTTTAAATTAAAAGTAACCGATAAGGCGCACATTTATTTACAAGAATAAATAAAAATATATATTGTACCTTATAATATAAAGTGCCTTGAGGTGACTGCTGTTATAATTCTGCACTATATGGATAACATTTAATTAAAGCACAACAGTGTATTTTTTCTATTAAATACCCACCACCCAAAAGTACTTGCTGTAGCTTTAAATAAAGCAGTAGCAGATAAAATGCTTTTATCCAATTAAAGAGAAACAGGATGCAGGTCAGAGTAGAGGACAGATGTTTAATGTGCTTACTAAACAACTTTTATTGAAAGGAATGCGGCACAATCTTTAAATGAAACAGCTCTATTACGATTATTGTAATAGGTCCATGGGGGACGTGCAAAATGATCCACAGGCAGAGGTTCATGATCGTATTGGACAGAAGTCAAAAGACAAGTGCTGGCACATGCACATTATCCATAACATGTATTAGCAAGTGGATACGTCAGTAGGGTAGAGCAATACTTCAGCTAAGGAGTTTTTGTCTGCAGAGTATTAGGCCAACTCCCATTACAGCCGTGTACTCTATATTGTCTGTTCTTGGTGTTGTCTTACACTCTAAATATTAACTTCAGTTTGTCACAAATGCCTGACAAGTCTTTTTTTATCCTGCTCATGTTTAATGGAATGTGACAGCTTAATAGTTCTTCTCTTAGAGGTGTGACATCATGAGTGCAGTGGGTTACTACCAAACAGATCTTCCAGTTGATGCTATTCAGGCTTTTTCCAACTTAATCTTTGTTATGTCTGGTGCCACTGACGCCTGCTCTATTCCAGAATATATACATGGAATGGTGCGGAGGGCCCATAAACAGCAGGATGATAATATGAACACTGTTTTGTAGTAGAAAACAATTTAGGCTAATGCGAGTGTAACCCCCACCGCTTTCTGTTTGCTGTTTCCCACTTATCTGATCGGAGTTGGGCTCTAGGCAGGCTGATTTTTCACAGAGATGGACATTCAGACAGGCTGTCACATTTATAGCGGTTACCTTCTGACCTCAAAGCTTGGAACTCCATTTATCACAGTACAGCCTCTCTTCACTGCGAGTCAATGTACACAGACACTCTAGCTAGACGATAAACTGTTTTCAACTAGCAGCCATGAAGTATTCATGAAACTTCAGCAAATGCATGCTGGCAACAGAGGTGAAATGACAAATGGCTGCTATAAAAGAACACTTAGGAGGCTCAAAAGAGACAGAAATCTTTTTGACAGTGTGCATTTGCTTTTTGGATGGAAATGAATGTTAAAGAATTGCTATCAAAATCGAGCAGGTATAACCGAATGTATGTGCATCAGTTAAAAAGAGCAAGCGACCTCTCCAAAGCACTCTGCACAAACAATAGAAAATTAATTATCAGGTGTTATGCAATCCCCTGCTCTGGGGGAGTGAGTGTGTGAAATGGCCCTGGAGTTCATAATGTCTGTCTGTGGGGTCTTATCTCGACCTGGGTGACATTGCTTCTGCATGATGTGTGTGAGAATGTTTAGACATCACCCTCACCAAGAAGCTATATGGAAAAAGGGGTTAATAGAGCTGTGATGAGCAGCTATTACATCCAGATTAAGACTGCCCATGAGAAGTGATTGCATGGTAAATTATGCAGTGCAACTGCCTGTTGCAGATTGCTGCAGTCATGAGATTTTACAGGATGACACTCACATCCGTGTCATTACCCGCTACACGCTCACACACAGGAAGGGCCAATTGAGACTAGACTAGTAACAAAAACAGAGTAATTAGACCGTACACAAAGATAGATTGTTATCCCCATCAAACTGGCAGCTCTGTTGCATATGTGTTCACACATTAGCGTGCTTACCCTCATTCACCATGCTAAATGCCAGGCCAGTCGATAAGGTGTAGGTGTAGTCACCAGTCAGAGGCTCAGAAAATTACACACTTTAACCTATTATCTTTAATCTGAGCTAAATTGCAATCTGATAGAGTAAATAAATGCATCTGCAGTCACATTCATAATTCCATGACCGTGTGTGTGTGTGTGTGTGTGTGTAATGACAGGTGTGCATGTTGTGTCCACCATTTGACGCCGATTGTATGAGCACATAGGATGCAGAATGTGTCCTCATTGTGAAGTACTTTCTACATCAAATGTAGAAATACAAGGAAACAAATATTAATGAATAAAAATGGGCTGCAGTTACACGTGGTCATTCCAACTGGCTAATTTGTGTCAGACCCAGGTTTTCCAGTTTGGTGACTTTGCATGAATGATATGGTCATTCTGGCATCACCGACTCGTGAAGTCCAGCTCATAGTGGAGCCAAAGCATGATGGAGCCCATGGATTCTGAGTATAAAAAAATGGTAGACTACACACTACGGGTTGCTTTGTCCCAGATTGTTGATGTCATGAGTATACAGGGGAATAGTGGAGTTGGAGTCTAGATGGGAAAGTCATTGGTGCCAGTCTGTTATAGTATCATAGAGTGTGAAAAGGCAAAGTTGTCGATTTACTGGTCGATCTACATCCCTACCTATAGCAACATCACCAAACAGTCAAATCAGTAAACAGTAAAAGCAGTATTCCAATTTAGGACACACACTGCTGTCAAATTCAAATTCAAATTCAAATTTTATTT